AACTGGCCATGGCCGTTGCCGCCCCATGTCCAAATATGGTGATCCACCATCAGCATGGAGTGTCCAATTCCCCCCACGAGTGCGAACTTCTTGGCGCTGCTCATGAGCTGATTCCACTGGACCAACCCTTCAGGAGCAAGCAGAGTTCTGATGTCGAGGTGGCTTTCACATCCTTAGATGGGTGGCATCGCGACGACGCCGTGTAGCACATCAATCAATACACAGTACACACACGTCAGAACTGACACTGCTTAAGCTGACGAGTGCAAAGAGGAAAAAACAAGTGTGGAAGGTTGGGTAGTGGCAGGACAACACGTTCTTCAGACATCACTGATGCTTGGACAACCCGTGCAACCAAGTCTCTATATCCTGCAGGACACTTCTTCGGTTCAGAGCTTCCGTTGGGGCAGAAATGCCCCAGTGGACACATCACCGGAGCTGCCGATGCAATTGGGCAGAAGGATCCGGCTGGACACTGCTGGGGCCGAGAGCTGTTGGAGGGACAGTGGTGCTTCTCCGGACAATCCGTCGGCTGGGAGCTGCCAAAGGGGCAGAATTGCCCGCCGGGGCACAGGATCGGAACCGCACTTTTCTGTGGGCAGAAGGAACCTGCCGGACACTGCGCTGGTTCTCCGGCCAGCGCAAACGCGAGCGCCAAGGCTGGAAGAAGGAGGCTGCGGAGGCAGCTGGCCATTGGAACCCTTGGAAGTCTTGCCTCTCTTCAACCTGTGAGCCGTCCTTCGATCTGAAGACCGAGATATCAATGAAAATATGACAAATCCAAAGTGCCACTCACCTTCCACTGGATGCCGGAGCACGTACGCATTGACTTCACTTCCCCCTTAGTTTGTCTAATTTATATAATTGAGATGATGACACCTTTTGGCCGCCAAAAAGCCAAAAGAAGGATGCGTCCAACGGTGCTCCACCGCCTGGGCCGCCCAAACCCCGCGGAAAGCGACGCCGGTCATCCACCTGTGACGTCATATTGGGGGGCAGTCGACGTGTTTTCGTGTCGTGGTCGAGCAGCGAGCTACACTTCGGAAGTTCTGAACTTCTGATGAGTTTTACCTCCTATTTGCAAGCAACCCGCATCTGAAGTCTAAAGCTTGATCCGAGAGTGATCGAACGTCAACATAGTTCATCCCAAAATAAGATATTTGGATTGACAACTTGAGGTCCTTCCAGGTGAAGGACCACAAAGTATAGATCATGATTAATCACGAAGAGGCGTGCTCACAAACGGCTTGAATTCAAGAAGAGGTGCGAATCCACGTCTCCCCCAAACCAATGAGATTTGTTTGCTCCCAGCCCAGCACCCGTCAGCGCACCAGCGCCAAGTTGGCTCACTACGTTGGCTCACAGTGAGTCAAGGCCTCGCGCGATGCCATCATTTTGCGGCTTCTTCACATGTTTGCGAAATGATGCGAAATGCATCAGTGATGCATTTCTGGAACTCCAAATGGGACAAGCTGTGGACAAGTGACCCGTCGAACCGTCTACAGTCCAAGTCGTACTTATTCGCCACATAAGAGCTCTTTCGAGTCACAGCACCTTTGCTCCCAAAAAGAATGACCAAACTCTCTACTCCCCAAACCCCCCCCACACAGTTCAACGAGACCCCTTCGCTACTACCCATTTGAAAAAAGAACGGAAAACAACATATATTGACCAACTCCGTTGAGGTTGTGTCCAACTCCCGTTGACTGAGAGCTCTTTCTGCTCCAAGTGCTGGAGACTCTAAGTGTTAAGTACCGCTCTCTCAGGCTCCCGTGCTGTCAAGAACCGGAGAACCGGAGACCTGGGCGAAGGTGAGGACGCCCCGCAAGGCCCAAAGTTTCCGTGAAAAAACAATGCTTGTGAATCAATATAGTTGGCCAATCAACGTGGCAGGTGAAGGATTCCACTATAGAGTTGCAAAATGAAACGGATTCGTGTTCCAAATAACGCTGTTGAGAGAGGGTTGTGGGATGTGGTGGTCTTGCGGGGCAATCTAGCGCCATGGGCGAACCATTGACAATGCCATAGACTGGCCACGTCGTCATGGTTCTTCTTCGTTTCTGCTCTCAATCAGAAACGCTTCGTGTTTTGGAGCACACGTCGTGAGCTCGGCATCTAGAAAAACTGATGGGAGGAACCGAAACAACTGAAGTGTCCAGAAACGAGGCACAGGCCACGGTTTGACGGTTAAAGGACAAAGTGCGCACTAGCCTTAACCAGACAAAAACTGTTCGGTCTTAATGCCGCACAATCAGTCCTATTGATATGTAGTATATTGCAAGTCTCTCGACGCAGCATTGACCTTCGGGAAACAGTATCACTCCGCCCCGACCAAAAAAATACTCTTGTTCATGATAATTGTTGGAAGGAGATCAGCCACAAACTCCCTCTGACAACTACAAAATCTACAAAAAACACCAAAGCAAAACAACTTGTTTGCTTTTCTTGAACCAGTCGACTATTCACCTGACTGTGCCATGATGTGCTTCAAACCGGATCCCGCATCTGAGCATTCGCGCGCGATTCATAGAGTTCTCCCGCCTGGCAAGAGATGTGCGAGAAAAGAACTGCGTAGAAAGCGACAAGTGAGCCATATTGGGGCCAAAACAAAATCCATGTGACAAAATGATTCTATCATAGAGTTGGAGTTGTCACTATCCTCTGACTTGCCTCAATTCTTGCGCCCAAATCCAAGCCAATTTGGGCCAAATTCTCGCCCGAGCCTGACGCTTCAATGGTACTTGCAGTGTGAGCAGTCCAATTCGTTTATATACGCGGCCATGGGACCTCGGACCTGGTTGTACGCGGCATCAAAACAGAAAAGCGTGACCCAAACGAAAGGACCTCTTTGGATCTCGTTGGTAGGAAAGACCTTGGAACGATCTCCGCAACTTCTTTGGTCAGTTCTTAATAAAAAGTTGCGGCAAAACTATAGATGTTCAAGATAAAATAGGAGGGAACTTCACATTGAAGAAGGGTGTGACGGGATGGTGTACAAAAACTGTACTATATATAGTATATAGTGACTAGTGACTTACCAGTGGGTAGGTTCCCCCCAGCCACCGACTCAAGAGTCTGGCTGCGTCCCTGTCCTCAGCCATCGACTGCCCGGGCAGCTGGGCAGTGGCCCAAATGCCTCAAGCAAAGGCCAAAATGGAAGAACCATGAAACAACATGTCAAAATCAATTCCAGCAAGGCCAAATTGAAAGAAATCATTCTTAGGACCGCAGTGATACCCATATTATCGCAAGTTACCCACTTGCTTCCCCGAAAGATTAATTTCCTGAACATGCTCAGGTTCGACCCAAAATTGGACCGTTGCTGGGGGATTAAAACCTGACCTGCGCATTGGGCAATACGCATTCACCGGAAGTGTTTCCTGGGTCTTCGCTTTTCACATCTTTTACAAACAACTGATAGCATGCCGTCTAGCAAACCTCTTGACGTTGACGAAATTATTAAGTGTTGATTCCTTGGACTTCCTTGGTGCTCAAAGAATACCATAGAATAACAACTGCATGAGCATTGATGAGTGAAGGTAGCCAACCCGTTTGGTTCCACTCTGAAAAGGACAACTAGACTTCCTGAACTGTCACAAGGCCTCATGTGCTCCCCTTCTCAGCAAACAGTTGTTGGTTTCTTCTCTGGATGATTACACGATTCAAGCGCAAAACGCCCACTGAGCGTGACCAGTGTTGCTGAGTCCTTGACCCCAAAAAAAGCAATCCGTTCAACCGTCGCATTCGACGCAGCCCACTCGTAACGCAACAAGGCACATGCGACGACGAGAAAACGGCCTGGCCAACGGCCTGGCCACAGCTGACATGGCTCACAACACACTTCAGGATCTAAGATATACGGTGAGATTGAAGGTGTGATAAACCTTTCAAAACCCCAATCCGTTCGGCAATCACATCCAACCAGAGAACGACCAATGAGAATGGTTGATAGGAAAATTCCTACTCATCCTGGCAAACACTGCAATCTATTCAAGATGATGCGTCGAGAAAGACTGGGTGGGGCAGCATTTCATGTGGTATGTCTGGACAGCACACCTCCCAAGTTGAAGATGACATGAAACCGGAAGCTGAAACATCCTGGGGCCTCTATTGGGATGATGCCATTTTCCCGCAAAAAGTCACATCAACCGCTATCAAATGGCACGACACACTGAAAAAAAAAGGCTCGCAAACGACTGCTGCACCTTGTCTTTCTCCGGACACGTGCGGATGATATCTAGGCATAAACATGTCACAAAAAACGGCCTTGTCAGCCTGGCCGGCTGCAGGAATCTCCTTGCACACATCCTCCTCGCGGTTAAAACCTAAGCCGCGAGAACCATGACCAAAGCCACGCAACTGCACTCGTCCAACCAGCACTCCAGCTTTGCACTAAAAACAACTATAGAGGTTCCAGGGTGGAATCTGCAAATGTGAGGCTGATGACTGCCTCCCTTGCAAAGCATCACTCCACATGTGGAGTGGCATGACTGAATGAGGGCACAAGCCTCAAGATGCAAGGTCTATTTTTCTCCACGCAAGCAGGATGAATTCTCCAGGTATTGAGGACTCTGTGTGGCTTTTCGAGAAGTGGGCCTTACTACAATTCCAATTGTCGCACAGCGCAGCAAGGCCAATATGCACAGCTTCTCTCAGCCGATCGTTCTCGTGTGGAGAGTCCTTGTACTACAAGGGACGGGCACCCTCAAAGGCCCTCAAAAGCCTTGCCCTTTGACGAGACATATCGTACTGGGCAAAATTCCGACGGGAGTCGTCTGAGTCTACTGTTGCTGGGACTGTGGACATATCAAGAAAGTGAGACGGCAGTTCAATATTCCTTGGCATCCTAGAGAACCAACGATAACCTACCTGAAGCTTCCTCAAACACTAAAGGCAGCATGTGACAAACATCTAGTGTACTTCACGTCCTTTGTGTGCGCCAGTGTCCGTCCCCTCTGAATGTTGACGACTCCACATGCGCTGCGACTAACTACACCCTCTCAGCAACGTTGCCAAGATGAACCGGTTTTGCTTGCAGAGCTGAGATCCTTAGACCAAGAACGCCTGCGACATCTGCTCGAGAACTGATTTGTGACAGCACAGAGTTGCACCGTTATTGCATCGATTCAAAACTGTCACCCTACCAACAAAACGAGCAATCCCATGTTGTATTGTTGTATATACTACCCTAGCTGCTGCTGCTTCGAAAAGTCAAAACACAAAGACTACTATAGCATACATCAATGCAATAACCCACCCTGCAGAGCCAATCTGCCATGCCAAGGAGCAAAGCTGGTCACTGACACCACTTCACTCTTGGACGCCTTCGCATCCGTCGTCTCGGGCGCATCGTCGCATGGGTCGTCGCCCATGTGAAAGACCTGCGGAACCCGAAGTACCTGCCGTTGCGGAGCCACCGGCTGGAAGGGAATCACCAGGAGGCCATCTTCACACCTACAGGGCGAGCAAAAGGCATACCCTCCTACCCTCCTGCGCAAAACAGGTTGTTCATAAAATAGCATTGTTCATCAGGGTCATCATGAGTCCAGAATGGAATGGTTTTCCGGGACGAATGTCTTTCTCTCAATAAGAAGGTGTGGGGTCCAAACAAGGAGCCATTGAGTGGAATACTTTCTGAGAAAAGCACCAGCGACGCAGCGACGCTCTAAGACTTCCATCGTGCTTGACACAAGAGTCCAACAATCTACAGCAACAACCAAATGCCTGTCTTGACTAAGAAAAAGACAATGTTGAGACTCCCAGCCTCGTCTCTGATTGCAACCACTCGAACCAGCTGCCCTCATCATCAAACTGGAAGTCCCGTTCCCAGGAAATGGCTCGTAGACCGAGTGCCTCCTTCCGGTCAATTTGAATCCTTCCTTTGCTCCGACCATCATACTCAATCCGCACATTGTGAATGCTCACACCAGCGCATTCAACAGCAACCAAGCGCTTCCCATCCTGGACTGTACGTGTCACAGGAAAAACGGAAGGATCTCGCTCCAGCACTGCCACTTCCAAACTTTTTGACCCCTTGCCCCAGAATGCCCTCCCTGCGCCAACCACCAATGCTATCATCACTGCCAATGACACCACAACTTGCTGCTCTTCCATCCTGCCAGCATCAGAACCTGCTTCGGCAGCTGCTGCATGCTGCACGCCAGGCGTGGTTTCGTTGGACGTTCCGGCTGGACAAACCCATCCACTGGCACAAGGTTCAGGATGACCGGCTCTGCGGTTGCCTTAGAAGTGTATGGCAAGCACTATAATAGAAATGTCAGTGATAAATTATATGCGCAGCGGCGTAGCATAAAGAGTCTTCACGTGGACAGAAGTGGACAACCATGCAATGAAAGGACTCCAATCTTCTCAAACTCGCAAAAACACACACCAAAAGAATATATAACAAAACAAAAAAACTGTCCAATGTCAGACCCAAATGCAGAAATGACCTTCTGGGCAAGGGAGAGCGAATCCCTTGCCTTCCGGGCAGTACGTTCCAGCCTCACACGGGAGAGCTTCGGAGGCGCCGAGGAAACCACGAAAGGTCTCCTGAGCCGAGCAGTGACGAGCTCGCCGGTAGACACTGCCACACTGCACGGCGCTGCCGGGTGAGACTTCGCACCAGGCGTTCTTCATGGTCGTCGCCAAGTCCTCTCCGCAAAACATCTCGTCGCAGCTGCGCCACTTCGAAGCGAGAAACTGCTTGGGAGCGTCATCACTATTGTCTTCAAAGAAGGCGTTGGAGACTTTCGTCGGCGAATCCGGTCTCTCAGTGTTGCCAATTCCCAACTGCCCGACACCGTTGTTGCCCCATGCGTACAAATGGGTCACAGCCACAGCAGCAGCTGCACAGCTCTGGTTGCTCAAGACTTTCGTCGGCCTTGTCTGACAATTTGTATGGCCAATTCCAAACTGCCCAATGCGGCCCCAAGCCCACCACTCCCCAGAGACCGTCAAAGCCATACTACAGTGATAATCCCTCACAGAAATGGCCACAAAGGCCTCGCCGCTCGAGACTTGTGTCGGCCGGAGCTGTTCGCTCGTGCTGCCAATGCCCAACTGCCCATCGTCGTTGCGACCCCATGTCCACAAACGGCCCGAACTAGTCAGGGCAACACTGTGGTCCCAAGCAGCCTCAATAGCCACAAACCTGTGGTAGTTCGAAACCTGGATCGGAGTAAGCTGATCTTGCCTGTTCCCAATGCCCAGCTGTCCGACATTGTTCCCGCCCCATGTCCACAATTCGCCAGAGGCTGTCAAAGCCAAACTGTGCCAATTACCAGTAGCAATGGCCACAAATCTCTTGTCGCTCCAGACTTTGGTCGGACGAAGCTGGTCGTGCGTGTTGCCAATTCCCAGCTGCCCCCCATGGTTGCGGCCCCATGTGTACACCTCTCCAGACGCAGTCAAAGCCAAACTGTGATATCCAGCGGCAGCAATGGCCACAAACTTCTCCGTGGTCAACACCCTGGTCGGAGTAAGCTGATTCTCTTTGCTCCCAATCCCCAACTGACCGTGATTGTTGCTGCCCCAGGTGTACAACTCACCGGAGGCTGTCACTGCCAAGCTGTGATATACGCCGGCAGCAATCGCCGCAACTTGTTCGTTGATTGCGACCTTCGTGGGCAACTCTGGATTCACCGTGCTGCCAATCCCCAACTGGCCATTGCGGTTGTCGCCCCGTGCCCAAAGTTGGTGATTCACCATCAGCATGGAGTGCAGCTCTCCCCGCACGAGTGCGAACTTCTTGGCGCTGCTCATGAGCTGATTCCACTGGACCAGCCCTTCAGGAGCAAGCAGAGTTCTGATGTCGAGGTGGCTTTCACATCCTTAGATGGGTGGCATCCAGGGGCCGTGTAGCACATCAATCAATACACAGTACACACACGTCAGAACTGACACTGCATAAGCTGACGAGTGCAAAGAGGAAAAAACAAGTGTGGAAGGTTGGGTAGTGGCAGGACAACACGTTCTTCAAACATCACTGATGCTTGGACAACCCGTGCAACCAAGTCTCTATATCCTGCAGGACACTTCTTCGGTTCAGAGCTTCCGTTGGGGCAGAAATGTCCCAGTGGACAAATCACCGGAGCTGCCGACGCACTTGGGCAGAAGGATCCGGCTGGACACTGCTGGGGCCGAGAGCTGTTGGAGGGACAGTGCTGTTTCTCCGGACAATCCGTCGGCTGGGAGCTGCCAAAGGGGCAGAATTGCCCGCCGGGAGACAGGATCGGAGCCGCACTCTTTGGAGGGCAGAAGGAACCTGCCGGGCACTGCGCTGGCTCTCCGGCCAGTGCAGAGACGAGCGCCAAGGCTGGAAGAAGGAGTCTGCTCTGGCAGCTTCCCATTGGAACACTCAAGTCGAGTCTTGCCTCTCTTCAACCTGTGAGCCGTCCTTCGATCTCAAGATGGAGACATAAATGTGAAATTGTCACCGTCCACTGGGTGCTGGAATACGTACGCATTGACTTCACTTGTTGGCCACAGCAAAAAGAAACACCTGTGCGGCACTGCTAGTCTAGGCTGCCAAACCCCACGCTGCACGCTGAAAGCGCGGAAGCCGATCCTGTCATCCACCTCACGTCATGGTGGGGCAGTCGACGCGTTTTCGTTTGAAGCGCTACACTCGGAAGCTCTGAACTTCTAGTTTGAGTGACTTATGATTGAATTTCAGATGCAGGTTGCCTGCAGTTGAAATAATCCGAGAGTGATCGAATGTCAACATGGTCAACCCTTAAATCAAGATGATTCTAATTGCCGGTGCTGAACATTCAAGACTTCAATCTGCAAACAGTACTTTAAAAACTGAGCAACTTAGCAACTTGGCCCAGAACATGCCAGAGCAAGGTCCTTCCAAGTGAAGGATTCCCATGATCATATCTCACCACCACAAGTCATCCATCGGAGAACGCTCTGTTAAGCCAACTACAAGTAAGGCTGGTGTTCTCCTCAATTGTTTGCTGTATCTTTCTCATGGAATCAAAAAGAAACGCAGGTCCACTGTCCCACCGAAACCAAGGTGATTGACGGCCTGCAACGCGCCCCAGACTGCCAACCGCGGCAAACGCAACGAAGGGCTGTCCGTTCCAAGCACCTTGGACCCAAGGCTCATTTGAAGGGTTTGGACTCATTTGAAAGCGAAGACGTGGCAATTTGAAGGATTTCGGGGTGTCTCCGCATGTTTTTTCCGATGTGCGATTGCCACCCGTGGCCGCTTCGGGGTGACCGCTTCTGGGTGACCTTTTGCCACCTAAGAACTTCCAACATCTCCCCAAAGCTGCTAAGACAAAAGCAACCAGACCTGGTGGGAACGGGTCGTTGGCTTTCTACACCGAAAATGTACTCTTGATTCAATCAAACCCCCCCCAGGCCTGAAGCGGATGTCCAATTCAAATGGGCGCATTCAAATGGGCGAGTTTATTCATCAAGAGTCACAAGTCTACATTAGTTGGCTTTCACTGGACGGGTTGTCCATCCAAGGTTTGTTGAACTACAACAGACTGAATCTGGGCCACTCCACCCCAGGTCGACCCCATCAAACGTGGCACAAAAGAACTTATGACTTCTGCGTGAAACTCTTGGGTGGACCGTCTGGACCGTGACCATCTGAGGCTTTTGCCGATGTCCGATGGTCGATCTCTTGTAGGGCGGGTTGGCCAAAAATGTGGATGAAAGCATCCAGTAGGGCGAAAACATCTGTCAAACACCTCGTGTATGCAGGTCCCGAGTATATGTGGAATTTCCCCGCTCGACGTGTTTCGTCCGGCCACCACCCATATATAGGTTCCCCGCCCATCGCGAGACGACAGCTTTCAGCCAGGCTCCCCTGGCTTCGAAACTGGCTTCGGGAAACTGCGAAGCGGCCATTCAGATTGGCCATGCCCACCGATTGGTCGCACGGAGAGTGGTGACGGTTCTCCCGGCGTGCGGACACCGAGTCACCCCAGTGGGTCGGCCGTCCCCACGAGTCATGTACAGCTCCCGAAAGAAAACCCACAACTCGAGTGCCCCAGCAAGTGCCCCAAGTGCCCAAGAAAATGGCAAGAGTTTCCTGACTTTGAATCAGGGTTCTCACAAAATGATCTAGCAGCTAGCAAGCATCAAAAACCAACCGTCGAAGATTCTCCATACCCCTCTCATTCAGTTTGTAAGTAACGTCTCAAGAGAAAAGGAGCCTAAAACCGCATCCCCAAAACCCTGGAACCTCTCTGAGGCGCCCAACCGTGAGCTTTTTTCGCTTGCCCCACCGGCGCGCGGATCAGGGCCACCCGTCCTCCATCTTCTCGGATGCCTCTCCCAGTGGGGTTCAAATGGATGTGATTGGGTAAACTTCCCGTGGGTCTGCAACAAACATATGCATATATACATAAACAGAGTAGTTGTGCGCATGCGCAGTCTTTTCTTGGCAACCTCTGAGTTGGGGCAACAGCTCAAGTGATGCATCTGGACTGGATCCAGCAGGTTCCAACTGCTTTTGGGACCAAGAGTCATTTCACCCCACTTACACCAGGACTGGTCCTTGTCTACCGTTGGTCAGGTGGTGCAGTTTTGGACACACAGTTTGGGGGCTACACTGAATTTTTCAGTTCTACGGTTTATACCATGTTTTACCCAACTGTGGACGACAGAATTAGGTGCGGTGTAAATACCACACAAAAGTGGCACGATCATCTCTCTTCATCTCTCCAGACTTTCCTCCCCCGCAAGTCTGCTGCTAATCCTTCCCCCCCAGGCTGGGGCGATCGATGTCCGAGCGAAGCGCGGGATGTCTGGGGTTTGCTCTGGGGATGTCTCTACGACCCGTCGCGACATCGCCATGGAATTCGTTCGAAGTCAACGGATGGATGGACATGTGTCATCCAGCTGTCGAATCAAGGAAGTCCACCCGCATGGCATACACACAAAATTGTAGGAATCCGAATGCATCAGCCATCATTTCATCAGCTTCAAGGTCTTTCAAACTGCAAAACAACAAAAAAAAACTCCACGATCTGCCTCCAGCGCACACCCGCCACGCCGCGGTGCTCACTCACCGCGCGTTCTTTTGACCGGAGCTCCACCTCATTTCCTTCTCCGCTCCTGCGCACGGGCCACCAAAATGCGCCACCTCAGCAGCAGCACGACGCCGACGCCGACCCATCCGACAGACAGATTCGTTCGTCTGTCACGCAGGCTTCGCCGCGACGAAGAAGTCCGTTTTCGTTTGGAGAGGACTTTCGTTATAGGTTGTTAAATCTATTTATTCTGCAGAAATCGAGATGATATTTCTTCCACACGTTGTTCAGGGTGAACATTCTCACATCGTCGATCCTCCTGTGTGCGTTTGGCCGTTTGGCTGCTTGGGGCACCAAAAACAGTCAACGTGTGTGTGTGTGTGTGTGCCAGACCCATCGACTCAGCTTCCGGCTGCAACCAAACCCATCGACTGACCATCTCGCGCAAGGCCGGGCTTTGCAGCAACGAAGCCGCCGCCAAGCCCAGGACCCGCAGCGAGATGCCGATGATTTGAGGAAAGCGCAAGATGACCGCCAGCGGCAGCCTCGACTGTTTGAGGAGGGCCCCAAAAAGAGGAGGACAACTGCTCGAGGGCCCCAAAAAGCCCCGGCTCCACTAGTTCTTCACATAGCAGGCACCAATTAGAAAAAGGATGAAAAAGGGATGAAAAGGGCAAATCACACCTGGACCTCTTCCATCGACCAGCTTGTTCAACGGCTTGATTGCGCCAAGCAACAGCACGGCCCCTGCAACTGCTTTGTGTTTCCAGACGAATTCTTTCGCAGGTGAGAAGTTACCCACCTGAACAGCGCTTGCAGCTGCCGAGGCCTCCTGCCAGGTGGCTGTGGGTACGTCGAACAAGAGGAGACCTCAACCCTAGTTTCTCCCACCGAGAACGAACAGAGTACACTAGGCACTTCAACCTACCAGGATTTAGAGGTCTGGTGTCTTTATAACGGGGCTGGTCCAAAGCGAGAGGGTCCTTGCAACGGAGTTGCCTGGCAATGATCCAATGTTTGGTCCAAGAGAAAAAGTCTTCAAGGGGTCCTTCCTCCTTTCGTGAGAGATCGACACATTGGATCATCTACCCTATCCAGGACTTTCCTTGGCGGGTTCGTCAGACGCTCAAGCCTCCCGACCGCCGAAAACAAAAGCCAAGGTGTCAACAGTAAAGAGTCCTGCATCTGCAGGATGTTACCAGTTCATACCTGCTCATACCTGTTCAATCCTTTACTAACATCCTCAAGTTAACCACCCATCCCACCGGTCCCACACGTCCGTCCTGCTGTACCTTCTTGAGCCGTTCGAAGATCTCATCGACGCCCAGCTCTTCGAAGACCATCCGAAAGACGTCGCTCGGATCCATGTGATCTCCTCCACCCGGCGGCGGCGCCGAACGCCGCGCGCCGCTGTAGCTGCTGCCCGTGCGGAGCGAGTAGTCGTACTGCGCACGATGCTCCACGTTCCCCAGGACTTCGTAGGCTTCGGCCAACTTTTGGAAACCTCACGAAAGGAGCAAAGCGAACAAAGATGCGAAGATTTTTTCAGTGAATCTAGGGGTGAGGCAACCAAACTGGTATGGTAAACACTCCAGAAACTCTTGTCCAATAGATTTATTTCCGCGGTGTCTTGAACAACTGTGTCTTGAAAAACTCCCGAATCCGCAAGCACCAATTGAAAAAAACACATGAGAAACCTAGAAATGGCACAGCAGAATGGAAGCGGCAACTCACACAAACAGGAGTTGCCTGAAAAGAGGTGTCAGCCACCTTGAGTCTTCCCGACACATAAGAGCTTCATGAACATGATTCGTCAACCTGACAGAATTCTTAAAAGTCGGAAAGGTCCTTAGACCATCACAACTGTCATAACTCCTTTGAGTTCAAGAAGCCAAACAGCCCCCCCAAGAGCTTGATTAAATGCACCATAATGCACCCAATATTAATTATATCACAAAATCGTCAAAAAGTTCATCAGGCAGAGTTCTCATGCTTTGGTCAGTCACTAACCACAAAGTAGTCACTAAGCCCAGAAACGATCCTTGGCATCTTTAGATTGATTCAGATCCGGATGGCACTTCTTGGCCTCCGTCAGATATGCCTTCTTCACCTCCGCCTGCGTGGCCGAAGGAGGCACGCCCAAGACATCGTAGAGGCTGCGGTTCCGCGCCGACGCATAGCCACGGAAGCTAAGCGCCGCCGTCCAGGTCGGGCGCTGCTCCAGCGGTTGGGAGGTGCTGTGTGGACTGAAGGATGTCAAGGGTGAGATCCTCGGGCGCACAGACGCCCACCTCACCGGAAGGGCCTTTGCAAGCACCGGAAGGGCCTCGCGTCCCACGCGCACGGCAGAAGGGGCCGCTGAAAGTACGAGGCTTGGTGTTTCAGCCAAAGGCAAGGCCGATCGCAGTCCATGGCTGCGGAGCAGTCTCTTCATGCTGAGCGAAGGTGAAATTCATGAGATTCCACTTCAATGAGTGCTTGAAAGCTAAAACAATCATTTGTTGGCCGCAACTTTGACACAAACTCCACATGCGGATGGGCCGCCACGACCTTCAAGTCCTTTTGTACAAGTCAGCACATGTGTTCAAGCAGAAGAACCTGCATATATGGTTGGTAGGAAAGCCGCCCAAACATGGTCCAAACATTGTGACAATCGACAGTGTACCTGGCTAAGTAGTCGGCTGTCTATCTTGCCAATTCATAGACTGCCCGCATGCCCTAAGCATCTTGAACCATGGAGTGGCGGACGAATTGTTTCAGCGTCAGAATCCATCAAGGGCGATTAATCAATCCATCCAAAAGCAGTGGCCCCACCATGCTAAGGCCTCACCATTCGAGAAGAAATACCCAATACTGGGGCAAAACCAAACCCATCACTCTAACAACTGTGCCGTTCTTCAAGAAACTCCTCGCCACGAACGAGTTGCCACGTGCAAACGAGAAAAAGACCGCATGAACCAGCTTGAAGTGAAACATCTTGAAACCCAACCCATCTGACCACCATCTTCCAACATGTTCCATGGCCAGGTTCACTTCATGGAAACTCCATCATCGCCATGGTTCCCCGCCCCAAAACGAAGACACCGCGAGCCCAGCCGCCACCTTCGTGGCCACGGCGGCGCCCTGCGGCGCCACTCCTCTCGGCTGTCTGGTCGGCGTCGGTGGAAGCGGCGACGCGGGGACGTGGAGGAGGTGATTTGCACCATGCTCCATGCCCCGGCGCGACCGGAAAAGTGAGGTTGGCACACCCCATTGGAACTATATAACCATATTGAAATAGGTGATCTAAAATGACTTGCACAGACCAAAAGGTCTTTGCTCCACGGCTCGATGCTCCATCCTCTAGGACCTAGAATCCTTGAAGGATCTTCCATGCATCAAAAAATAGCGTCAAAACACCGTCATCCTGTTACCAAATCACCTGCGCTATAGGGCAGCCAGGCCATCGAAAACATGGAGTTCGCCCAAAATGGACGCACATGGTCCCTTTAGAAGAACTAAGTCGCCTTTTGTTTGCCATCCAAATCCGTTGGTATACTGGGTTTGCTACCTGCAACACGTTGGACGAACTTGTTTGCACTTCACCCCCCCCTGCACCACGTGTCCGAAGCCTCCCCAACGTCCGAAGACTATACCGCCTTCACCCCACCGACTCCAAAAAATGGCGGCCTTCACCCACACGGCGCCGCCAATTCGATGGCATTCATCCCATGCGGCTCGTTGGGCGTCTCAGCTTCCAGCCACTTCTGGATCCAGGGAAACCACCTGCGTCGGGCTCAGTTCGACACATTGAGCCGCCAGAGCCGCCGGCTCCTTCTCACTAGTATACTTGTATATATATATATATATATACTTGTACTGTGAATATGAAAGTAAACTGTACAGGCAGGTGTTGGTCAACTCTGAGGATGCTTTTGGGGCCCAAAAAAACGGGGCATGTGCCCCAATAAGGCATGAGCCATAAACACCCCCTCTTACTTCGTGCATCCTTCCTTCACACCAACATCACCACTTAGCCGGAGACTCGGACGACGAACCGCGCGGCTCCTGAGGACGAGTGGTTGACCTCAACCCGCCTGAGGACGGGCCTCATCAGCGTTTGTGGCAGCATCACAAGGACTCCAAGCGGCAGCAACAAGAAGCCGCAGCGAAGACCAGTGCTGAAGGCATACCAGAGTTGCAGGACCCAACTTGACATCGCCGCAAGGTGCAAGTACGAGTAGGACATGGACGCTCTCAAGTCGTTCTCATCGGCATCACTGGGCTGCTTCACGCGAGATAGGGCCAACTGTACGACTAAAAAGTTGGTGGCGACAGCTGCCAACACTGCGAGGCTCAGCAACGGGACCAAAGGACCCCATATCACAGCAACTTCAAGCCAAGTGGTGAGTTGCGCATGTTGCGGCATGGAGTTAACTGTCTTCGCCAACTTGCCTTGCAGGAACTCCAGGAGCCAGGGTGGTAGTCTCTTCAAGCACCCGCGCGTCTTGCGGATGCACGCATGCTCAGAGTTGAGATCGTCCGGGTCAAAGAAGAGGTGAAAAGCTGAGGCCAAAATGAATGGGATCAGAATTGCCTTCAACAGAGTCTTCTTGATCAGGAACGCCCCCATACCTTCAACCACAGACCGGCTACAAGCACCATTGCTGATCCACTTGAGGTCGAAGAAATGAAAGCTGCAAATCTCCTTGAGGGGCTCTCATCTACCATGCTTGGCAAAAGTTACAAGCTGTGATGCTATGATAGCATCCAATATAGAGGTGTGTTATTAGGGTTGCAGGGCCCCTACGGTTGATGGAAGGAGCCCTTAAGCTGGAACACCCACACCGTCACACCTTTTGGAGACTGTGGAGACACCTGGGCCGTCCACCCCCTCCGGTCGCATTCGTTACGGACGTGGTCCATTCCTCCATATAGTTCGATCGATTTCCAGGGGGCCAACTCTTCGCGAGCTTGCGTCCTCCTCTAGTCGTAGTGAACATCATTGCTTGTGGGGTAATGAAGGCTTTCCTGCAGAAACATCCTACCCAAACACGACCTGTCCGGGACTGCCAGTCCGGACTGCCTTCAAAACGGCCAGGGGTGGTGGACTGGGGTCAGGCCATTACCAAGTCAGTATACCTGAACCCTGAACCCGTTTGGCCGGGTCTCCTCGGTAGTGAGAACTTTGTCATCAAAGACCTGCCAATCGAAGCGCTCGTGCAGTGGAGAAGTCTCGTCACGACAGACTCTCCAAAAGAAGGGCTTCCAGCCAGCCGCACAGTTCCTTGTTCCACTGGTGCAACAAGAACTTCGTCCAAGTAGCCAAGCCAAGTAAGAACACAAACCCCGACGAAGGTCTTCCATCAATCATCTGAATATAACAGGTCAAGCAAGCCAGCATTTCCATCTACACGTCCCTTACAACCGTTTTCTGCGAGCTGAAGAGGTTGTGTATTGATCCACTCCCACAAAAAGGACGCGACGGGGCGACGGGGCGTTGCAAGAAAAGCATGAAAAAGCCGAGATTCTCGTGCAGCAGAATGGTTGCAAGGACGGGCGAGAGCCATTCCGAGCAGAGCTTCATCATCATGAGCAGTCGATCTGCCTGGTTACTGGCGCTGCCAGCTGACCACGTGGAATGTATACAGAACCAAGCAGACCAAACATTGTCAGACATATTGGTGTAGCAGGAGTTCAATCCATGAAGCCTATGGCTGTGAAGAATGGAATCCTTTCAATGGAGAACAATGCTGGATGCAACCAAGTGGGGTAACACCACGTTTTTTTGGTGGTGGGACAAAATAAACGTATCTGACAGGTCTTAGCACTACAGCAGGATAGAATCAAGAACTCTGGGTTGCTCCATCTGGTACAAACCCATCTGATGAGTCTTCGAAGTTGGCTGGAATTCACGAGCGACCAAACCTCTGTCAAAAATGAAGTTCACATGACAATCTGCAGCACAGATTGACGCCGTACTCTTCAGGTTTACCTCCCCAGCTTTGGAAACGCCACCTCCGTCCGCGCCGGAGTCGCGATCGCATAACGCGCGGCACCAGCGAAGTCTCCGCGGTGCCTTGAGCCCGGTGGCGTTGGAGAAGATCTTGCTGAGAGAGCTGGCTAAGAGCAAGTCAATCACAACGCTCATGAAGGGAGCAGCAAAATGACACACCTGCAGTGCGAGGTCCAAATCGAAGTCGTACCCGTTCTTCTTGGTTTTCGGCAAGGCCTAGGCAGCAAGAGGAAAACAGTAGTGGAGACATAACAAAAGAATGCGGTCCATCCTCGATGCATGAAAATGACAGGATGATGTCTTCTCCTGTGAGATGAAACATACTATAACATACTCCTGAAAATGCAGAGCATCAGGGTCCCAGCAAACTACAATAGAGTCTGCAGGAAACACAAAGCATGTTGATGCATTGCATGGGCTGCAAGGAGTCTCCACTGAAGCAAACCTGGTCATTATACTGTGGTCGATCATAAATGATGTTATCTGTATAGTATAGTCCTCTCCGTCCATCCAAACACAGCCAACACTGCTTGAGAAACCAACCACATGCAGGAGGGCCTGTCCTTGAGGACAGGCCAACCACCGCCACTTCCCATCCGACTCCGCGGACCGCCTCGGACATGGCAAAGAGGATGGCGGGCGATGCAATCAGGAAGCACAGCGAGAGCCACAAGAGCCACTTCACCCACTTCCTCACTTCGGAGCGAGCGCAAGCTGCTTGCGCTCCACTTCGGACAAAGATGGCTGAAGAGAACGGACCGAGACATCTGGAAAAAATATCAGCGCGAAAAGAGGTTCCCACCGACGGGTCCGGGTAGGTGCTAGGAAGAGCAGGAAAAAAAATCACCAAAAGGAAGAGTTTCGTGCCAGTTGGAAGGACTGACAAACAGGTGAAACCATGCCAAAACCTATTCTGATGTCCAAGATCTCTAATGGAACTTCCTTAAGAAAGAGTCCCAGAACAAGAAAAGGACCCACCATTTTCCGGGCTTCGAGACGTCCAGCTTCCAGTTCTCTGTGCGGTGTGCATCTCCTCCTGGCCCCCCAAAAAAATCGGATCTTCGACCCACTCGGCTCACCAAGCAAGTGAAGCACCGCGAATCACCGCGAATCTTCAGAAAACGTCACTGCCCTAAGAATCCGGGCCCTCAAACACATAGGGTCCGACCCCTGCCATGGAGAGCCCAAGGATTCTTAGGGTGAGAAACGAGATGGGTGACTTATCCGAAAGATCAATGTTTCTCTTCAGTCAGTCACTACAACCCACTGACCTTTATGTGCGCAGGCCAAAAAACCATCTGCACGGCGCTGTCCTCCTGGGTATCTTGATTGGTTGCCCTTGAGTGTGATTACCGCCAAGCTGTTGAAGGCTGCCATGAAACACCACGAGATGACGACCAGGCTCTCTGCGGCTGAGTTTTCAACCAAATATGCCGCCATGCTTCGGGAGAGGTTCCTCCCACGTGTGTAGTACCTGCATGTTCCCCTCCCACAACCATAGGAAAATGCAGTCTGCGCCAACGTTCAGAACATCGCCAACCGAAACACCCCATGCGTTTGCCAGGTGTCTTTAACACCCCAACCACGCCTGGCACCCCAGATGTACACAGGCCAAATCCAGAAAGTGAGGGCATTGATTCCGCTGACAATCCGTAAGACTCTCACATAGGCGTTCATCAATCTAATGCCCAGCGCTGTGGGTTTTGCCTGCTCGGGCAAAAACACATTTTCCAGGATCGCTCTCTTCAGGGGCCACGAGATCAGGCCAAGCACCAGGAATTGAAGAAGAATCAGCAACTCACCTGTAAACAGGGGCGTCTGGGTGTTGTAGTGTGAATGGACGAAAAAGAACTGGCATCCAGTAATGCAAGGTCTTTCACCAACAACAGCCACGGGGGGCGTTGCAACACGTGCCTTGATAGAACACACACTGACGGTCACTGACGCAATTGGTGCTCTCTCACATCAAAAACACTGGGTGTGAACAAAACAATCAACTTCGTCAGCCCACGCAGCCCACGCCGCTCATTTCTAATCAGAATTTTGAGGATGGATGTGGTCGACGAGGATCCAAGCCCCAGAATCAAAAAAGGAAGTTGGAGAATCGAGCAAGGGAGAACCGAGCAATGGCGGCAGGAGAAGAGCAATACTAGTTAGTAGCAGTGGCAGTAGCAAAAGCAGAAGCAGTAGGAGTAGGAGCAGTAGCAATAGCAGTAGCAGTAGTAGTTAGTGTTAGTAGTATGTATTAGTAGTAGTAGTAGTAGTAGTAGTAGTAGTAGTAGTTCGAGAATCGAGAACCGACCATTGAGGATCAAGAACCGAGGCTTGTCAAGCGGCCGGGTTGGAAAGTTTCTGAACCACCACCAAACGGCATCCAACCACCACCCAACAGCGTATAAACTATAAGTCTTCACAAACACGGTGGAGCCTCTGAAAGTATCCGCCGAGTTGTAGAGAAACTCCTGTTCCTCCTCATCATCGATCCACTCCACGTCCAAGGTCTCACCGACACCCAACATGTTCCCCATCACCGCCAAGGCTCGTACGCCCGCCGGGTCCACCGCTGCCTTTTCGCCTGGCTGATGGTCCGGTGCCCGGTGGTCCGGCGCCCAGTGCACTAGAAAAATGGACTTCACCCGGACTTCGGTGGTGAAAATGAATGGATCCCATATTCCATGTTTGGAAGAAAAAGCCTTCAAGCGTACCCAGCAAAGACTAAGAACCTGAAAATGAACCCTGGGATACCATGTTCCTCTACCGAGCTTTAGAACAGGTCGGTCCGGAACGGTCCGGAACGCTCTTCGAGTCACTGATCTGGTCTGGAACCGCGCAGGAGAGCCGGTTGGCATGCAAAGTGATTGATGGTCGCAGCCCAAACTTCCAACAAGTACCGCAAGTCTTAGGACAATTGGCGAGCAAACGTCGGTTGTCAATGTGGTAAATGCTTGAAATCTCCTCACACGCGAGACCCCAGTCTTGATTGGCCATCGCGACCTGCTTGCAGGTCTTGCCAAGAAACTTGAACCGATCATTGTCAATGCATCTTTCCCACAGATTCATATTTGGAATCTTGCCTGAGAACTGATTGTTGTGAAAGGTCACCACAGATGTTTGAGTCATCGACAAGTCTGGAAGGTGTCCAGAAAAACCATTGTCGTGTAGAGTCAAAACGGCCAAACGCTCAAAGCCGGTCAGACGTGGAATCGGACCATGGAACTGATTGTTGCTTAAGAAGAGCTTTGTCAAGATTCTGAAGCTACTGGGCCACTCGAAGCAATCAGGAAGCTTCCCAGTGAAACGATTGTGGTTCAGATGTAAGCTCTGCAAATTGGGCATCTGGCAAAGTGCTTCCGGAAAAGCTCCGGTCAGGTGGTTGTGATCCAACATGAGATCCTGCAGCTTTGTGAGATTTGCCAGGCTTGCAGACACCTCCCCAATAAGATGGTTGTGATGCAAGCTCAAAGATTTCAGTTCCGTCAGCGTCATCAAATCTGGAAACGCCCCCGTCAACCCATTCAGGGACAAATCCACGGCCTCCAGGTGCAGCAAGCTTTCCAGAAGGGATCCAATAGCACCCTTGAAGCGGTTGCCGCCCAGATTTAGTTCCTTCAACTTGGTGAGTCTCTTCAAACACGGTATCTCCCCCTGCAGGCGATTGTTGTTCAAGAGAAGCCGCGTCATCTCCAAGCCCCAACGTCCACCGTCGTTCGCACGAAGGCGGCGTGTGCGCGGTTCCCGGAAGATGCCAGTCCGCACCTCGTCCACCGCGCTCGTTCCTTCGCGGGGCAACGGAGGAATCGCTCCTTCGAGTTGGTTGTGCGCCAGCTTCAAGACCTTCAAACGACTGCACCTCCACAGCTCTGGTGGAATGGTGCCCGTGAGGCGGTTTTCTGCCAAGGACAAATACCTGAAACCGGAGTTGCAGATCTTCTTGGGGATAGGACCCTCCAAGCGATTCCCTTCCAGTGACACGTATTGCAGCGCCTTCATCTCCCCAAGCTCCGGAAGGAAACCCGACAGGTTGTTGCGCATCACGTAGAGTTTTTCCAGCTTCCTCAAGCTCATCAGTTCAGGCAGCGAGCCGTTCAACTGGTTGTTGGACAAGATCGCGAGTCTCAAATTGCTTGGCAAGGCCACCAAGGGACCCGAGAGCTGGTTGGCCGATAAATTCAACAAGCTCAAGGATTCCACGGCTCTCCTTACCCGTCGAATGTGCGATGCATTCGACACATAAATCAGAGGTGAAAAAAACCTGCCTAGTGGCCTAGTGTCAAACACCTCGCAGTGTTGGTAGTTTAAAATCCCGGAGAGGCACTCGCTTAGCTCTCCTGCCTACAATAGGTGCAGCTTCGCCTGCCAAATGAGAGGATCCAGCACACCAATGAGAAAAACATGTTTGGTCATGTTCCTTGCAACATAAGCGTCGTTACCTTGTTCCACATGTTCATTCGGCAGCGGCCACACAAACTCTGGAAATCCAAATACGTTCCGATATTCCTCTGTAAAAAGGGATGTTTTGAGGTTCCCTTCCTACCTTCGTCATACTTGGATCCTAAGTTTGACCAGGTTTCAAGTCTGGAATGGGCCCCGTGAGCTGATTCTTCTCCAAATGGATCGTGCGTAGCTTCGTCAAGCGGCTCATCTCTGCTGAGAGCTGCCCCGTCAACTTCTGCTCTTGAAAATAGATGCCGATCACATGGCAAGCGCCGCCTGGGCTGCGAACATGAATATCTTCGACGAGTTTTCAGGGCCAGCACCCTGGTTTTGAAAAAGTAAATATAAAACAGTTGGAAAAAAACACCCTATAGGCTTAAATTACATAGAAAGCTGAAGTCAACTTCCTGAAAGCAAAGTCGGAAGCGTCCGAGCCCTCGGAACTTCACATGGAATTCATGATCGTTGATGCGATTGCAGCTCAACGCCCCATTTCTAATCTGCTCTTTGTAAACTTCATAGCGGAGCAGCTTGTTTTTTGGCAGGCCGAGCGTTTTCAAGATACCAGGCAGAATATCCATGTCTGGAGACAATGTGGCATCCAGCAGAACATTGGATAGCACGAGGCAAAGGCCAAAAAGAAGCATCACTCCTTTGGCCTGAGGACGAACGAGCTGGAGGGCCCTTCGGTGCTTTTCTGCTCCAGAACAAGGACACGTCGAACAGCAAGGCATGTACGTCCCATGTCCTACAGACTGGCCCGCCAGGGTCAATTCCTAGCTTTCCAGATGTTTTTCGTGCATACTGCTTGGGAATCCCATCACACGTGGTGACAACATGTTTCCCTGGTCCTGTTTACTCTTGAAACACTCACCGGGCTCCCTTCGGCCTCACAATGCCACGAGCCCGACCAGGCCCGGCCGCCACTGGCGGCTGGAACCACTCCACGCCACTCCCAGTTGAGCCATTCAACAATGCCCTTGTAAAAGAAACAGAAGGTAACAAAAGTGTCACAGGAGGATGGGGTGAAGGTGGCTCCAGAAACTGTATTGAAATTTCAACATGACAACATGTCTCTGAGTGAAGTGACTGGAATTTCATTGGCTTTGGTGGACACCAGGCTTGGTATGGCTGCAACCAAATAGGGTCAGCAAAGATGTACCGCGTGAAAAGCATTGAGAAGCACCACACCCCAAAGGAGACAAATGAAACGAAACAAAAAAACACATGAAACCAGAAACTCTTGAAATCAAAAAACACTATAGCTATAGTCACTCAACCGCTCTTCATAGGGAAAGAATGAAAACCACTCGGCTGAGCGGGGCTTTCCCCGTCACCCACCATCAGAACCAACAGGTTACCAGGTACCACAGGAGTGTGAAAGCCACACGAAAGCCCCTCAACGGAGGGATTCACATTGGGTCTATTGCATGACCCACCCCCAGGGGCTAAGCCAGGGTTGATTTCGGGGAGCGCTTGATTTTGCTAGTTTTCAGGTTGAAGAAACCAAGCAGCCAGGCAAGCACTCTACAAAAAGCTACAGACCATCGTTCAGTGGAAAAGGAATGATGTCACTGAAGCTTTCCAAATCCCTGACTTGACATCGCATCTGAACAGATTCGGCATGAGGTGATCTATCTTTTTCTGCATTCGGTGCTCGGGCATCCTCCCTTCCGTCAGTAATCGGAGGGATTGTTGTAAGTGTTGCTACAGCTCTTCGAGCACTTGCGGCAGCTTCCTTGAAATCCAGTCGACGCGACCCACTTGCAACCATACCGTCCTGTACGTTCTCGTGCGATACCCTTCAACACCCATTCGCACTCATCCTCATCATCCGCCGTCCCGCAGAAGGGGTCCACCTCCATGCAAAAGCAAGGCCCCAAGTGGCAATGATTCAGACCCCCCGGAGGGCAATTCGGCGGCTGATGCCACTTGCAAATCCCCAATCTCTTCTGGTTCAAGATCACGCCACAACTGCCATCGGCCAAGAGGCTAAAATCCTTCAGAGGCCACGCATTGTAGAACTCTTGGCAGCCCTGCTGGTCAGCTTTCCGTGAGCCTGGAGGACACCTGAAAAGAAGGCGCGGCTCAAAGCGTCCAGAAAAGGCTCAAATGCGTGGAGAAAGCAAGCGAAGGAACCCCCCCCTAACAATCTCACAACCAACCACTAAAACCCCCAGGAGAACCTTCTGTGTGTTCGAGTGGTCAACCAACATCTAAGATGGATCTGGATCTTACTTCTACCGTTTCACTGGTCGAACAATGAGTTTAGAGCCCACCAAGTCTAGAGCCCACCACTGCTACGGACGGGCTATCGTCTCCTCACTGCTTTCGGCCACTGCAGCCGTCAGGAGGAGAACCCGGTGCATTCGCGTGGCCTCCCGGCCTCCCGTGGACGTTCACATCGATCAACACGAAGTTGGGCGTCGTTTGGACCTCCACAAGGTCAAGGCCATTCTGGAGGTCGTGATGTCGAAGTGACTCAACGGCTTTCAGGGCGATGTGGCAAAGGAAGAAGAACCACCACGTTCTTTGCCATGGCATATGGAAAACCTCACAGCGGCTGGTGAGCTGCTGGTCAATGTCCTTTTGGGGGGGGCAGTCGTCCACAAAACCAAATGGAACGCAAACCGTACAGAGTTTGTCTGTTGAATGCGGGTCAACACCACCAAGCACAGTACGAGTAGTTTGCCCAATTTGTTCCAATTCCTTTGGCTGAAGGTGCTTTTTTTGCTAAATCACTTTGAAGCTGAGGGTTGACACCCTGGTACGGTCAGTTCATCTTTCCAATCCTCATTCTCTTCCATGTTTTTACAAAAACAACCATGTCTGCGTCGTCGCTGAACTGCAAGCAAGACACCACCGCTCACCCAGCGCTGGGTCGACGATATATCGCGCGCGGTGGCTCCCGACGTGGATCTGGGCTTGCGGAAGGACCTGGGCTTAAGAAACTCCGTTTCACATGACCTGTGAGCCCAGAAGAAGCAGCAGCGCGAAGTGAAGCTTGGATCAGGTCCATCCCAAACCCAGAACCCAAATCCAGCTAGTCATTGAGAGAATCGGAATTAGTGAGTAGGACACGACATCCTAGACATGGCTTGAGATCTCCCGTTTGCCACCTCAAAGAGAGCTGAAAAAGCTTGGCAAATGAATAACGCCATGGCAGGCAAAATGTTCCACCTGATCATGCACCTCCCACCCCAAAGAATTCCTTCCCACCAAACACTGCATCCGGACGGACGCTGAACCTGGTCACTGAAGGGGCGACAGTCGTTAGGTGCTTACCGAGGTGCATTCACATCAAACACAGAAGCCCGCCTCCTAAAAGCTCTCTGCAAACATATTTAGGTAAAACATGATAAAACCATGGACTATGTAAAATCCTGAGGCGCGCCCAGCGGTACCAAAAACGAACCAAATCGATTGGTCTTGACAAGGAAAGGTCCATCGAAAGAAAACGGCCCTCATCGGCCGGAACAGCAGACGCAACTGCATGTCCGCTTGGCCGCCTGCTTTTGTTTCCCAACTGCAACTGAAACGATGTTGAAACGATGCTGTTGTTCGTGCTTGGCCGGGCTACCTGTGTCCTACCTACAGCTGCTTTGATAAACAGTAACCCTTTCCTTTCCTTCTTCGACCAAGCACCAACACTCCTCCGGCGCCCCACTCGTCGGGCACTCCGAACCTCCGCGCAGGTCGCGTCGCGTCGGGCGTCGTCGGTAGTCGCCAGGTCCAGAGGAGAAGTCCATAGGGTCCCTTTCCGGTGGAGCGTCACCTGTTGACGGTGGACCGGTCCTTTTTGCCACTGCCACTAGAGTGATGGAGGTGAGTTGTGGTACATAGACCAGGTTGTAGTTCCACAAAAGAACTAGACTCGGAAAAAAAGAACAGCTTCACCTGCTGGGTCTGTTTCTTCGGCATAGCTGCTTGGATCGAAAGACGCTCTATACAACCTGCTGGGTCCTGGGTGGTTCAAAACAGCATAAAACAGCTCTTCCCCCCTATATCCTCTGGGGATGTTGTTTTGAACAGGTCGATTCAACATGGAAATGGAGGTCTTTCTTGTTCCCAGGACTTCCGGGTCATGTCCGTCGTCTTGTTCAGAGTTCGGTCTGAGAAGCCCAACGGAAGAGAGGAACAAATGGTGCTGGGCGGAAGATGGTGAAGGGATCCCTGTTGGGAGGCATCCAGCTTCCAAAATGCTTGAACCGCCCCGGAAAAAGAAAAAACATGCGTGAAACCCATGTGTTACACTGGGGTTGGTGAATATTGGTGGCCCATGTCATGGCTATTGGATTGACCATCCAACCAGTCGATCGACCCCAACCTTGGAGATCACATCTGCCCCTATCCCAACTGGGAGATTCGTGACGCCAAAAGAAGGAAGTCCCACAAAAATGCACGGCCCGCGATGACCGTGATTGGTTGTTTTGGACCATTGGTTTCCGAATGAGACCCTCCCTGACTCGGAGAATTGCAAAGCAATCAATGTCACCCAGGTCCGTTTCGCCATCAAAACAAGTCTGCACCCGTTGACATTGATGAAGGGTTTATTCAGCCCTTCATTACAACCTCTGACAATCTCGCGCGAGGTGCTCTAAGCTTAGCGCACAGTACACGTTTTTCTTCTGAGTTCTGCGGGCCACAGGGAAGAATTTCTTCCAGACGAGAGCTCCACGTGATAGACTGGACTGGAGCCAGCAGCTCCTGCCACCGACCGGGTGGCACACGGCTTCAACAGCCCGGCGGCTCACCGACGGCTTCAACCGGGACAGCCGAAGATCCGCCGCGTGGGGCTGCCTTGCAACGTGGCCTCCAGCGCAGCATCCGCAAAGGGAAGGAAGTGGCGCCAGCCCGGCGTCCGCCGCAGCTCCTCGGGCCGGGTGTCCGCGAGCGTGTCCGCTGATGGACGGTGCTTGGCAGAGAAGTGGAGTACATCTTTGCGCAAGGAAAACACGAGGGATCAAGGCAAGTTGGGTAGACCCTGGGAGTCAAAGACTATAAAAAGAATGGTCTAACTTGGTGACCCGAGTGAAAAGGAATATCCTTTACACCAGTCGGTCAAAATATAGTCGAACTGGTCTTTGGACTTCTAGGGTAGAGAGTATCAAACAAATCAACACACCAAATGAAGAATGAACCCGGGAAGTCACAACGATGGAAGAATGGGGAGTCAAACGAGACGACCATTGACTTTGCTCCGCCCCCATCCCCTCGTATAGAGGATCCGGCATGAAAACATCCAACACATTGATCCGGCGTCAAAACCGTTCAATCAATTCAGCCGTCTTCATCTTCAGTGTCCAAAAAATGGTTCACCCGCCATATTCAGCCTATGCTCCTGCCCTTCGTCATCCTTCATCTTTGATTCTTAAAAACCAAAAACACCGAGGCTCCGCGTGCAATCGCTTCTTCTCCAGCTTCGCGGCCACGTGCGTTGTCGCCCGGTACACGAATTTCGCCTCGTCCTCGCCCGGTGGAGCCGCCGCGCAGCGGCCGCCGCGCTGCAGCGTTTCGCGGCAGGACTCGATGAAGCTGGGCGAGTGGAGCTGAGACTCCTGGAGAACAGGCGCGTGATCAACGACGGACGAAAAAGCACCCAGTTCAGGACTTGTGAGTACGTGGTGATCGAATGGAAACATATCATGATCATATATGATCATAGAATTATATATTATGTGCTTCATGCATTCTGTTCCCGATTGCAGGGACCGTGGACCACTTCGGGTGTTTTCGATGTAGACCTCTACCACCAATGGGAATGAAGGAATGGACCGCCCCGGTCTCCTCGAGAAACTGCCGAAACTCCGGAGGCGCATCTGCAGACTCGTCCTCCACTGGCCGGGAGAAGAAGAAGCGCGCGATGCAAAGGAGGGTGCCGTTGAAATCCTGTCGGAAGCTTTCCATAGGAACCTGGAGCACATGGTCCAAGTCTCGCCAAGCATGGGCGTTTTCCAGCATCTTCAGAATATCCCAACGGCTCCTCAACTGCTCAACCTGCAAGCCCTGTTGGCTCGTGAGATTCTGCAAAAGCTCACTGTAGCTGCAGCGGAAGCCACACAGCCGAAAAATGTCGGACCACGCTTCATGATCACAGCTTAAGCAGTCCGGAGGATTTCGAAACCTCAGCCATTCTTCTCCTGTGGTCAAATTTTGACGGTGATAGATATAGCCAGACAGAATCATATCTGATGGTCTCCGCACCAAATGAAGCAGCTTGCCTGCACCTGAAGAGTTTTCTGGTGCCAATCACTGGTCTAGGCCGTCTAAAATTGTCGGACACCTCACAGGCAGGCCGCCTAGTACCCTCCAATCAATTTCTTCAAGTTAAGAGTTTAAAAGAACACGAGAACTTTATGAAAAGAACTGAACAGATTCAAAAACCGGAAAAAACACAACTCCTTCAGGACCGCAAAAAACGGGAACCAAAACCTCCGGACTCCAGTCCGGGAACCGTCCCACCTTGGCGCATGAAGTCTTGGAACTGTGGCTCCCGCGACTTCAAGGGATTCGAAAAGTGGATGATCATGTCCTGCGTGTATAGGTCGCCTGCGTGCGTTGACGTTTGCGAGGTGCGAGCGGCGAGCGAGGTGGCGCGAGGTGCGCGAGCCAAAGGAGCGACAGTGAGTAGTAGTCTCAAGTGAAAGTGAACGGTCCAGGGGTCACCAAAGGGGTGGTGTTTGGTCCCATCCAGTGAGTGGATGTGACGATCGGGCACCCCACTCTAACCTCCATGGAGTAGCTGGGCCCGTCCTGTGAGTCCTGGGTTGCTGTTCCTTTTTGGGGTGTGGTTTCGCGGCGGACGGCTGGCAGATTCTGTGAGAAGATCCCTCACCAGCCGGGCGTCCCAGCTTTTTGGAGGGGAAAGGAATGTCATGGGAAACAAGACGAGACGGCGCGTCTCACTGGCTGCTCTGCCAGGTGGCTGAAGGTTCGGGTGAAGGCCTGGAAAAAGGGCGTGATCACAGGTCTGCCGCCCCTGGGGCTATTGTGGTCCCCGAACTTCGTCACGTGGAAGTCATGTGGCACCATCACCTGCGAAGAAGCCGTGATAGCAGGGCCGCGTGGCAACACCAAGTAACATGGGCTTCGACAGACTGACAGACCCGGTTGAACACACAGTTTGCCAGGTTCCGGCGGCGTACAGATCCTGCCGAAAAAGAGCACGGAAATCAAACGCTTACTACTAGGAGCAAGAAGCTACTAGGGGCTCCTGGCCGTACTACAACGGGCACCTTCTCTTCTGGATCCTTCAACAGCAGCCGCGTCAAGGGCCCTGGCACCACGTTACCCACGAGCTCCGTCGAGAGTGTCACGCCAGATTTGTGGTAGGCCATGATGCCCTTCACCTCTTCGACATCGTCTCGATCAATCGCATCTCTTCACCGTTTGGGAATTCTTGATCGAAACCGCGCAACCCTAGGCCCTATCTTCTGACCCCCTTTTTGCAACTGGACCAACCAAACAATACCCAGTGACTTCAAACTACTTCAAAACCGTTCTCCCTTTCCAAGTACTTAGAAGATAATGCCTAGAAGATGGTCTACTTGTAGAGCGCATGCCTTCATATGTCTTACGTTAACGAGACTTACCATTTTTCCAAAAGAACCACCCCACCTGATTCTGAACTGGAGGTCTGGGACGGTCTTCTTCCAAAACCTGTTAAAAACGAGGCTGACAATCGAGGATGTCGGAAAGACAGACCGAAAAAATCAAAAAATAAGACTAAAACACCACAAGGCACAAAAACACAAGACATTTTAACTGTACTCATGAATGTTGGAGTTCGATAGTCCTTTTGTTGTCAGGATCTTGTTCTCTTCTCAACACAAAAGCAAAAAGCCCTAAGACTCAAAGCACGAACAAATAAGGAGAAGAACATGGACAACGATCACAAGAACAACAACCGGGCGGGTCATCGGAGTCATCGGGCTTCATAGGTGAATTTGAAAAGCCTTCACAAAGCAAGAGAAGTCGTGGATGTTGCTGTTGAGTTTCCCCGTGGCGTGTGAGTGGCATACAAAGATCTTGCGAAGCGGAGGCTTTCTCGGTGGCGGCCCGTAGCCTGTTGTGTGCATGCATAGCTGGTATTTCTAGGCAGTCTGCATATTTGGCTTTACAAATACTCCAGGATCTGACCATTATGTCCGATAATCACAGTACGTACCAGCTCAGCGAAGTGAGCACTGCAGCAAAACGGATCCAGAAGCAGTTGATAACTCATGGCAAAAAAGACTCGCGACAGGGCCAGGCCTGCAGAAGTGCTGAACAGATTAAAACGCTTTTTCTAAAGCTGCTGAAAATAGACTGGCCAAAACAACCAAGAACCTGCAGAAATGATCTGGCAGTCCAAAGGGGGTTCCTCAAAATTCTCCGACAGCGGAAGTTCACTTCGGTATGGCAGGACTTGGCGCAGTTTCTCGGACCTGGGCGTTGCAACCACTGGGTTTCACTGGATGTTCCATGGTTTTTCTACTGGTCGCCCTGGTTCAAAACACATCGATGTTCGCATCATCCATTTGGTTGCACAGTGGCCCGTGGTGGTCCTCAGCTTGAGCCCTTGAAACCGAGAGTGTCCAAACGCGTGGGGAACGTCACACAAGCGCAGCAGCAGCATGGCGACATGCAGCATGGTGTCTGGATGGGCGACATGCAGCTGAGCATGTCGCCTCACGAACAGCTGGTCGACCGTGGTCTTGGCACGAGGAACACGAGAACGAGGAACACTTACGAGGAATTGCGCAGCTGCCAATGTCAAGTGTGCTGTGTTGGTTTCCAGGGTAGCGCGTAGCTGGTTTTTGCGATCCTCTTCAGCATCCAAAACACAAACGAAAACCATGTGCCAACACAATGTGAGCAAAAAGAACACAACACAAAAACGTTTTGACATCGAACAACGTGTTTCGTTGGCCGTTCACGTTCGCGTGCCGTCGTTCACGTTCCGTGTCCTCGTCGTCAAAGATGGACAAGGCCAGCACCTTCCAGGCTGCCTTGAAGTACGATGGCTTCGATAGATGATGCGCGCAGCAAATCCGCACCGGCCAGGAGGGCCATTCCGGGAAGCACTTCTCGTGGCCTAACGGAGAACGGTGTTGTTTAACGTTGAGCGGAGAAGGGACTCGGGCGACTCCGGCGGAGTAGAACTGACTTATGAAGCTGGCTGATTCACCTCGTGAGGCCCCCAGTCTGAAGCCAAAACAATGGGGGTCGAATGGGTCCGGGTCAATCCAAAGGACTCTCCAAAAGGTGGCGGGCGCCTGGGCAATCTCTAGCATCCTCAATCTAAACGCTTGGCCAACAGTCCGGTCAGTCTTGGTGTAATCGGTACAGTGGTTTCAGAGGAAAATCGATGGCACCCAGAAACGCCAGCCGATGTCAGATGGGGGTTCATATAAACCACCCAACTCGGGGGATTGCACTAGGGGGGTTCTGAAACTGTCTATTTCCGAATGGAAAAAAGGAAAAGCTGCTGGAGCAATCGACTCGGTGTCCCAAGGAATCAAATTTGGCAGGATCACAGCAATGTGTAGCAAAGTCAAACTGATCGATGCTCTTCCATTCCTCATCCAATCACTGATCGAAGTTCGGGAGAAAAACACGGTGCCACCTGTCGAAAAACGGTCACAGGTCCAAGTCACTTTCAACTCGCTTCCAAAACCAATCTCATGCAAGTTAGCTTAAGCTTAAGTCTGCATTATGTTTGTTTTTTTGGGCACAAAGAAGGATTCATACATCCGGCACTTGTGGATTTCGTCCTTTCTTTGACCCACACGTCCAAAGGCTCTGTCCACTTCGTCCAAAGGCTCCGTCTTGGTCTCCAACATCCGCGGCGCTGCCTCGCAGAACGCCACATCCAGCTCCGCCGCCGCGTGCCGCGCCGTGTGCCGCGCCGCCGCCGCGGAGGCCAAGCGGTAGCGGAGCAGTTGCGGGTCCAACAAGCCGCTGAAGTTCCTCACAAGTTCCAACAACGCTCCGGTGAGTCGTGCGGCGCCTCATCCCAACCGGTCACCGGTCGAAAAAGGGAAGAAAAACCGAACCCGGCGCCCCCGGGTAGAAAGATCGAACGGTTTGTTGACTCTTGGCGGACGATTCATACATGGTACACGGTGCGGTTCTTTTAGATGAAGTAAACTTTTTCTCTGACCCAATGGGAATGTTGTTTTGTAAACTGTGCAGTCCCATTGTTGGCTTTTGGGATGGGACGCGCACACGAGAACCAACTTCTCTTCGGGATGCGCACGCGGTGAAGCAACGATGCCCAGATTCTTGTGGAGCCACATCGCCCCAAGTTGGAGTACATACCCCCCGAAGACCAGGACTTGATTAGGTCACTAGTGAAACCACAAGGAAACTGCATTCTCCAAGGAAACTGCATTCATTTTCGAGTTGTTCACTTTTGGGGGGGACCGGTGTCCCACAAAAAACAAAACCACAACACGCATAGCGTACTTCTTGGGGGAAACAGTTCGGGGGCCAGCGGCACTTAACCAAGTGCAAAGACCACAAACAACCCGACGACCCTTTTAGAAGCATCCCACAACGCTGACGTGCAAACACCTGATCAGGCGTCCATGGGATTTCTTGCCATCACGACAAACGGACACTTTCTGATCCTTGCTCAGTTTCCCCTTGATGGTCAAGAACTGTTCGCTGAGCAGAGAAACTAATTGCCTTGTATTAGCGATCACCTGGGTGGACGCCAAGTGAAAACACAACAGCAGCGGCCAAAGGGGGGACGCCATGGGGCATGAGCCGGCGCACAAGGTCTGAAAAGGTAACTACCACATCAAATACGCTTTGCTAGGTTTATTGAATCGCCCTCAAAAAGAATCTGAAGTGGAACCCTTGGGATCATTATGTCACTGCCGCTTGGTCAACAAACACTGTTGTACTAAATTCACTCCAGCCCGAAGGTCTGCTGCTCGAAGGTCCGCTGGTCTTGCTTGCGTTTGTAGGCCCACGTAGGGTTTCATGTTGCGCAAAGATGTGAACCATGGACCTGTGGATGGCAGCAAAAGTGGATGACCCTTTGATGTGAACCATGTGCAACATGAAGCCTTGAAAGTCTTGAACTTTGGTGTCCAGTTTTCTTTCGAACGATGTCACCAGATTGCTGTATGGTAACCATGTAGTTGTTTTTCAAGGCACAGGCACTGGCCAGTGGCCACGAACATTGCCCAGCCATCCCCAGCCCAAGCCTTGCACATGACGAGTAAGACCTCAGTAGGACGAGCCACTAACGCGCAGAACACGCAGGACGATACAGTACGTGCTAACAGTGCGAGACATGTTTATGTTTTGTATGGATTGGGTCTGTCCTGCTACCTGTAACAGAGTCGAAAAAAATTAATTGTATATAATTTGAAAACCGCTGCACCCCTTTTTGGTGCCACCGTTTGGGCCTGAACAGTGCGTCGTGTGTCAACCTGTCAACCTGCATGCTCACCACCATATGACCTTCATGTGTTCATGCTAGATGCCTCAAATCCTGTCACGGCCCTCATGGTGGTGGGCACACAGTATGGACAGGGACGGATCACCTTCTTGGCTCTATTGGCCACGTGTGAACATGTCTCTGAGTGGTAGCATTCACCACTGTGTGTCATCATCCATGGTTTTCGCTCCATTTCGAACTTCACACCATCAAGGCTTTCTTTCAGCCTCGAGTTGGATGCTTGGTTCATCTCGTCAATGCGTGCCTTCAGCAGCACATTCACTTCTTTCATTTGCTTGATCTCTTCATCCAGCCTTTGGATTTCTTCTTCTTTTGCATCATGTCTTCCTCCTCTACGAAGAAGTCGGTTGGTCAGCCCAAGATTCTCTTCTCGAAGTTCTTCCAGCTGACCTCTGAGGTTGACATTCATGTCTGCAAACCTCAGGTACTCATGCATCATCCTGTCCTTCTCTTCTATCACTTCTTTCAGGTATTCATCTTTCTCTGCAATGGCTACTTCTAGCCGCACGATCTGCCATTGCACGTTCACCTTCTCGATGTCGGTCTCATCTTCCACTTGCTGCGGCTGCTCTTCTTCTTGTGGTTCTTGCCTTTCCACAGTCATCTCATTGTGGACTTGTCTTCCATTGAACCACTGTCTTCCTTTCTCCCATAGCCATCTTGTCAAGCTCAAGGCTCCAACCATTGCTAGGCATACCAGTGTGATCAATGGCCGAATCCACCATGCTTCGTCATTCTCTTGGATCTCTCTTTTCTCATGCATCTCTGATGCCTTGCCACCTTGCAGCATTGTCAGAGCTAGGACCAATGCGATCCTTGCATTTCCACCAACTGCCTTTGCCAGCTTGCCCGTGTTCTTCTTCAACTCTTCTTTGGCGTGGATCTCCTCAAACTCTTGCTGGCCAATTTTCTCATTGTCCCCATCTACCATCTTGATGAGGAATTTCAAGCCTTTCATGCGGGCCTTGCTCAAGATCTTCGTGCCAATGTCACTCACGTTGATGGACGTAGGCACTCCGGTGACCCTCAATTCCTTGGCATTCGTCTTCTCCTGCAGCCACAACAGTCCAGCTGCAATGTGACGAGTTCGTCCGACTCCAATCCGACCAGCTAACGCTCGAGCAGCTGAGGAATCACTTCTGCAGACCATGTTGACCTCCTCTCCAGTCAGGAAGGACCAGCAATGCTTCAGGAAAAGTCCTTCGCTGCATCCTCCAACCATGGCCACATATTCACTCTCGCCAGAGGAAAGTGCTATGCATCTCTGACATCTGACATAGGTTTCCATCAGCCCTCCATTCAAGTACAGTTGTACTGAGCTCACTGACTTTCGTGTGGCTTGCTGCCCTGCATAGTCAGCGTCACAGATCACCTCAAGCAGGTTGGACTTGGAGTCATCCTCCCATTCATGCGTGTCCTCGTTGACATTCAGGACACTTCTTCCTTTAGGACCGTGCTCCAGCAAAATGCCTTCGTCAATGGTCCCCAACAAGTAGGAGCTCACATGTTGCATTCCTTCTTGGTCGGCTTCTGCATCAAACTGGCTAGTCCCTGAGCCACGAACTGAATGTCAGGACGATCTGGGGCAATGTACAAGATCTTTCCAACAGCGCTCCTGTACTTCGTCACATCTTCGTCTGCCATTGGCTCATCATCTTTGCTCAGCTTCGTGAAGTTGCTGTCTCCCGGAGTGGTCCGGAATTTTCGGTTCTCCACATTGGTCACCTTGGCCAATGCTTTGATGTGCTCTTTGTCTGGGCGGATCACGATGCCATTCTCGATCATCTCCATGTTGCGCTTGAGGTAGCTGAAGTTTCCTTGGTACAATGGACCACGCTTCTCCACTTTCCAGGACTTTTGTTCCATGTAGCTGATGAAGCGTTCAACTTCTTCTTCATCACCAATCAACAGCAAATCATCGACATGGATGGCGAGGAATAGTCGACCATTGTCTTCATCCTTGGCTTTCTTGTCTTTCTTCATCATGGTCGGCTGCATCACATCCTGCACCATGCCATAGTTCCTGGCCACTGCACAAAATCCCTTGAACCATTGTGCAGCTGCATTCCTCTGGCCAGGCAAATTCTTCTTCAACTTGTATTTGCCGTTGCTGGTCACGATCATGGCCTTCTCATCAGCTGGTTGGTCCATGAGCAAAAAGGCATCTTTGACATCCAGCGTGTAGAGAGCTAACCCTGTTTGCATTTGCAGACGTAGCAACATTCTGACCACCACTGAAGCTGAGGTTGGTGCAAAGGAGTCCTCAGTGAAAACGCTCCATTTGAACTGTCGTCCAACCAATCTAGCTCTCCTGAACCAGCCGCCTTGCTCATCCCGGAATTTCCAGGTGATCACCATCTTGCTGGTGAGGACATAGGAACCTTCTTCGTCTGGTTCGCCATCTTTCACCTTCTCCAGAACTCCCATCTGTTCCAGGCGGCGTTCCTCGTGGCGGCATGCCTCATCATCTAAAGCTGCTAGCTCTTCATCTGACACTTCCGGAGGTCGATCTTTTGCATGCCCTTCTCCTTCTTCATCTTCACTCACATCATTCAGGGCTGACTGCAAGATTTCTTCTGCCAGCATGTCATCACCTCCTGGGAATTCTTCTTGAATTGCTCGCACCTTTTTCTTAGGGCTCATTCGCAGCTTCTCGTCATCCTCAGCATCCCAAGGCAATGAAAACAGTTCTCTCTTCAATGACCCTTGAGGCAAAGTCATCACTGAGCTGCTTCCTGGTGCATGCTTCTCTATCTCCACGGAGGTTGCTGGCTTGGCTGCTTCAGCTGTCTTCTGGCGCTTTGGGCTCACATCCTCAGAGTCCTGCATGAAGTTCCGTGCAGGTTCACCTTTCATAGACTCAGGGATTGGGAGTCTACTGATCTTCTTTGATGGACTTTCATCCTCAGCCGTTGTAGGGAACGGTCTTGCTTTTGCTTTCTCCTTCCATGTCTGTTTTGTAGTCCCTGGTGTTGCTGGTGCTGTTGCAGGCCTTGCTGGTGCTGTTGCAGGCCTTGCTGGTGTTCTTGGTGCCGGTGTGGCTGGCTTGGGAGTGATCCCTGGTGTTCTGGGATACCCCTCAACTGGAAAGCCTGGTGTCCCTTGACCAAGGACTGGGCCATGGCCATACATGCCCAATGCCACTTCTTCACCAACAGTCTTGGCCTCTTGCTCGATCATCTCATTTCCTTCGGCCTCTTCAACTGCTTCAGCTTGGCGCTGCCTGGCTGCAAAGCGAGACTTCATCAAGATCCCTTGGATGGAGTATTGCCACGGCAGACCTTTGCTGTTCACAAGCATCTGTCAATCAAATTGGTCAGGAAGACGCCTGATTGATCGAGCTTCAACTGCACCTGAACGGGTCAAACAGATGTGGCCGTCACTCCATGCGCTCTTTCCCATCCATAGCCCTTTCTTGTAGACAGGATCTCGTGTTGCGGAAGGCAGTGACATCCTTGAACAAGACGGTTTTGCCCCACAGTGCCACTTTTCCATTGTACTTCCTGTCTGTCAGGGCTTCAAAGGAAGTGCAGCCATTGATCACACGGTATCTCACCATCAACCATGCTGCATGCCGAAAGCTCCATGGATAGCAGCGCATATCACCAGTGATTTTGATGCCCGTCTTCTCCTCCGCGAAGCTCCGTAGTGTGTTTGCTAGCTTCCGGACAGACTGGACTGTTCGCTCGGCCTGCCCATTGCTTGCACGCTGTTCACGAGAGGTCGTCCGAATCTCCGTGGTCGGTCCGATCGATGCTCGGGCATGTTGAACTGCTCTGAGGATCTGCCTGGTTGCCCGTTCTCCATCTGACTGAAACACAATGGGCTGTGTGTTGCACACTTGCATGCTGAAACGAGTCAACTCTTCTGTAATCTGCCTGAGGGACAGACTGCCCTTTGCCTGGACGGGTATGCACAACACTGCTTTGGATTCAGACTCAGCCACATAGAGTGCAGTGCCCCATTGCTTTTCTTCGGCTGCTCCAGAGGTGTACGTGTAGCCATAGTCAAAGCTTATCACGTTGCGGCCACGATCTTTACGATCTGCACTGTCAGCATCAGTCCTCACATCCTCCTTGGCTCTTGTTGCTACACATTGCTGACACCATGCCTGAAAAGGCAAATGTGTCAGTTGATGAAGCTCTTGTTCATGCTTGGTCGGTAGCTTGGGTGTTTTCACAGGGATTGCTTCTCTTCTCTGTTCACTGTAGAGGCGCTGTGCAATCTCGTAGGCAATCTTCTCCTCCTCATGATGTTTGTATTGTTGCAGTCTTCTCAGCACCTTCACCTTTGACCCTGACGTGGGCAATCCAAGCTTCCGACACATGTATAAGCAAAAGACAGCAGGCGGCATGCATCGTGTCAAACTTGGTTTCTGGCATACTCCCAAGCAGTTTCTCAGTATGGCCAAGCGGGCGGTACATCCTATGGACTCTACAGACCACATAGAGGACGTCGCCCGGGAAGCCTTGGCTTTCAACTTGAGGAGCCCTGCAAAACTTGTGGAAGTCGAAAGAAAGAAGAATCTTCTTCAGGCTAGGCTCATCCTGGAGATCTTTCAGCTAGTTGTCTTTGTTGAACGTCAGTTCATCAATGTTGACCTCAAGCTCATCAGGATCAACAAAACGCACATCCTCTGCAATCTCCGGCCTTTCTCCACCTCCAGCTGCCAGCCATGGCACTTCACCACCTTCTTGGTCTTCTTGGTCATCTTCAGGCCATGACGCTGGCTCTCCATTGAGCAGTGGATACTGGCTGACCGGAACCTCCGAATTGACGACGAAGGCGTCCTTGATCAGACCTGGAGCCACGAAGGTCAATGTCGTCCTCGGCCCATGTGGCAATGGCCGAAAAGGCAATGGAGTGTCCTTGTAATTGGCCAGGTTCTCCAACTGCTCCCATTGGCCACTTCCATCTGTCATCTTGGCCAACGTCAGTCGTCCACATCATTCATCTCCAAAGCTGGGACTTGGGTCATGGAAATGTGATGCCATTGGCTTCGAGTGGACAACAATCCCGTTGGGAAGTGCGTGCCAGCCTGGGATCCTCTCCAACAAACCCAGTTCACGTGAAATGTATCCATGCAATTGTCGAGGTGGTCCACGAACCGGTCGTACCTGCTCTTCTGGGCTTGACAACTCGACTGGCTCTTTCTTCACCTCCTTGAACTTGAAGTTCCATCGTTCCCAACGGGCCAACTTCTCCTTCACTTTGCCATCGTCACTGCTGCTGCCTTTCACCATGATGTCACCGGACTCCTCTGTTGTGTAACCTGGTGACCGTTCATGACTTTCATCTCGACCAGGGTCACCCTCATTTGACAAATGGTGCATCAGCTCCAAAGTCACATCATCATCCTCAATGTCACCTTTTTCACACGCTGCGGCGGCAATCTCTTCTGCTGCTGTTGTGGATGGATTCTCCGGCGGCCTTGTGTCACCACCACTTTCAACTGCATCTTCTCGTCCTCCACTCACTGCATTGACTTGTAGTTCATCTGGCTCATCTCCTTCAGCTCGAACTGCACAAATCTTCACATCCATAACAAGTGAATTCCGTTCCAACCGTGCAGGAATCTTCACGGTCTTCTCTGGGTGTTCAAGAAAAAGACCATGATCATCTTTGGAAAGTCCCCATCCCTGCTTCAGAAGGCGTCCAAAGCTCAAAAGTGGATGGGTCACACCAACTCCCAATGCAAATTGCTCAATGAATTCAATCACTTCACCATCACGAGTTTGGGCTTGTAGTCGTAGACGGCGATTTCCTTTGCTGCAGATCTTGGCTCCTTGGGCATCGATCATCTCGATGGGCTTGCCTGCACCGGGCACTCCAAGGTTGTAGAAACGCTCAGGAGCCACTGACACATCTGCCCCGGAGTCAATCGTCATGATGACGGAGGGAACTTCCAAGGCCACGACATTCTTGATCATGCAAATCTTCATAGTTTCAACCCTTGCTTCTGCATGTCCATCATCTCTGCGTTCTGAGGTCTGGGCTTCTGTTTCTTCCATCGACGGAGGCTTGGGTTCATCCTTCAACTCCTCATCACAGTCATAGAAGGTCTCCTCGTCATTCGTTGCCTCATAGGTCTCGGCAATCTCTGTCACTGCAAAGATGGTCAGCTCCGAGTTCTCATCTCCTGACTCGAATTCCTCTTGCTCCTCATTGGAGTCACCCTGAGTGAGATCAAAAATCTCCATGGTGGCCAACCCCGTCGGCGTGACCAGTCTGACCCGCCTGACTCCCGCAGTCGACGAACGTCCTCCGGTGTGGGCTGAGCTGCCAGTTGACGCCGAGGTCTGGCCATCTTTTGTTGTCACAGTTGCTGACCCTCTTGCATCTTGACCTTCTTCTTCAACTCGTCTCACCTTCTTGGACCAGCAGTTCCTTGGCATAGTGGCCTGGCTTGCCACAGTTGTGACAAGTGCCCATGCCTTTGCCTTTCTTGCCATCACCTTTGACAAATGGCTTTCCTCCTTTGCCCTTCTTTCCTCCATCTTTGGACCAGCTGCCCTTACCTTTCTGCTTGCCCTTGTCCTTGCCTTTCTTTCCTTTCTTTCCACCTTTTCTTCCACCGTCTTTTGACCACACTGCATCCACCTCCATTGGTCCACCCTTGTCCTCAACCTCGGCCATAGGTCGTACAGAAAGCTGCAGGCCTCCTTCAGACATCCATCGTTGGCTGACCTGTTCATAGAGCTCGATCCTCTGTCTCAGGTCTTCGAAGGTCGTGTCGTCCTGCAAAGCCATTTGTATGTGGACTCTGAGGTTGGGAGGAAGGGCTGCCACCACTGAAGCTATCTTCAAGTCCGTGAACCCTGAACTCTTTTGAACTATCAAACCATGGAGGGCTTGCACCAGTCCTTGCACTCCATTCGAAGCGCTTGCTGCCTGTGCGGCAGCGGGTCCACCATCACCACCAATGGCTTGCTCCAAGCCAGTTCCAGCCGAGGCCATGAGCGTGACCCCAACCAGTCGTATCCACCCGGGGATTTCAGGTGGACCTTCCTAACCCCCAAAGATCACCCCAAAAGGGATTCCCTGGAGATGCCGGGGGCTGCCCGGCAGAGCTCCGCTACCATGAAAACCGCTGCACCCCTTTTTTGGTGCCTCCGTTTGGGCCTGAACAGTGCGTCGCGTGTCAACCTGTCAACCTGCATGCTCACCACCATATGACCTTCATGTGTTCATGCTAGATGCCTCAAATCCTGTCATAATTGCAAATCATTATCTTTAGAAAATTGCCTTTAACAACCATCATCAGCCATTGTTATCCACTGAATGCCCAAACGCTTCCCTTCTGAGTGGCTCTGTGATTACTGCAAACGGTTCTTTGGGCGCTACAAAAGACCTTGAAGACGCTAGAAATCATCTGGCACTCTTTTCTGGCATGTTGTCTTTGGATGCTTTTGACATTAAAGGCATTGCTTGGGTTTGCCCTCATTTTGAGACCCGCTCAAAAACCGCGCCTCCAGTGATTCCTCGCATGCGCTCAGACGCTCCTCAAGGTCGATTTGCAAACTCAAAAGCTTCTGATTTTTGTCACTGCCACGTGATATGTAGACTGTTGATTAAAAGCTCCATATAAAAAGGGCTTGCAATCCAAATGGGGAGGGTTTATTAGTCTAGAGTCGACATCAAATTGTTGGCTATCTGTCAACAAGTCTTCGATCCCAACCACGCACTTGAGATTCCCCTCCACTGATATGTCTAGATATACATACATATATAAATGCGACCTTTTGTCTTGATCAAATTACACCAGCATAGACCCAGATAGCTAGGCAGAATGCCACGACCTGTTGACATGCGACTGGCTGGAACAAGCCACAACACCAGCACCAGCACCGACACCCTTTCGAAAGCGCGCGCAGCCAGCTCATTCTTATTTGCAGCAAGAATAGCTATCCCTATTTGGGGAATAACAACGTATGATCTTGCGCGTATAAGTTTACGCGCGCAAAAATACGCGCGCAAGCAGCAAAGCCCGTAGTGTCATTGGCCAAAGGCCAAGCAGTATCCAGCGCCACTATTGACTTTGTAGCATGCTTGAAGCAACGATCTGCAGAACGATCAGTGATCTTGCGAATCTAAGTTTATGCACACAAAAGTATGCGCACAAACGGCAAAGCCCTATAAGCTTCACTCGCCCAAGGCCATGCTTCACTTTTGTGTATGTAGCATGCGGGGACATGCTGAAACAATGGTCGGTTGAGAGCCTGACGTTGCGCAAAGAACATTATACGTACAAAAGTATGCGCGCAAACAGTACAGCCCTTGACACAGCTGCGGGCCAAAACAGAACCTGAAGAGTGTAAATACACCACAGCACATAAGTTGCGCGCATAAGTTCACGCGGCCCATGACTGCTGGCACTTCATGGTCAGAAGCGGCGCTTGGTCACCCTTCACCGCTGCAAGCGGCGGTTTGTTACCCTTCACTGTCAGAAGCGGCGGTCGTTATCGCTTCACTGTCAGAAGCGGGCACCAGCACCAAGCACCGGCGCGCCAGCTCACGGCGCCCAGCACCAGCACCCAGCGCCGGGCACCATGTCCCACCACGCGCACAGCCAGCACCCAGCACCGGCGCCCAGTCTCCAACACGCGCACTTAAGAGAATGAGTGGTCAGTATACTCTAATTTTCGCTTCCTCAAGGAGATTGGTAAGTGGCTTGAAAGGAGCGCGAGACCGCCCAAATCGTTTGTCTCACCAGCCACGCGCAGATTGATCAACTCGGTTTGTTTGAAGGTGAGCGTTGCCGTTTGACAGCAGACTGCTTTGATTTGCTTTGACCGGGACTTGAGCCCCGCAGCTTTGTTCTGCCACAGGCGAAGACCTACAGTGATACAGTAAACCTACAGTAGGATAGTAAGACGTAAGTCCAAGCTATGAAGAGCAAGGAGATGCACCCATGGTTCCTGGAGATGGAATGTCAGGTCTCAGGTCACTGCAAGAAGGATAGCTGGGCGCCTGTCCATTGGTGTCCATCGTTACCCAACACTTTTCCTGGACCAGCCAGCGGCCTGTTCACGGTGCCACGCCAGCGCATAGTAGAAGCATGGAGGTCAGCCAATCCATGCTGCGTTCATCTGTGAGGTAATGTGAGATAGTATCCGTCAATATCCATGTCCAAGAAACTTCCCCCAAATTGACAAATACCCGAAACAAGGCAATGATAGTTACGCGCTATTATCAATATATATATATATATAGGCATGGGTAGCACACATGGCATGGGTCCATTACAAATTGCTTTTTGGCCTGCAGCAAAAGTCACCTACATCATTCTAAATCAGTAAGTGAGTAATGAAAAGCCATATTTTGGAGCTCTCGTTGCTTCCAATATGTCCCACATGTTCGTAGCAATGAGTCTTCGTAGTCATCCTTTTAGGACCGGCTACCTCACGAGCATCGATCGACTTGTCGTGCACTGTTTCGGATTGTCGTCACTGGTGCTCACCTCTGACGTAACGCTATCAACTCAACTGACAGCAGCCTGAGAGGCTTGTTATCTGCCCCTGCTCTTGAAAATGAATGTACGATATTGTACAATTCTATCTATCTATCTATCTATCTATCCGAATCTAATCTAATCTAGTCCAATCATGTCTAATCTCATCTATATGTCTATTTGTGTGTGTGTGTTAGTGTTATGTCTTCTGGTCGGCCTCTTGCCTTCAAGACTTTCCTACCGGATGGAAGCGACCGGCGCCACAGCCCTCTGCAGCGTGAATCGGAAATGAAAACAATGCGCTTTGGGACAGCTGAAGGACATGAGCTAGCCAAGTGCAGCAGCAGGAACTAGCACAAACCAGCTTTGGGATATTTTGGGTTAAAATGTTCAAGACACACCTTACTGTAATCTTCCAAAGTCTTCTCAACTTGCGAATCAGTACTCACTGGTTCAGGTGGTCACCATGTGGTACTCTTGAAAGAGTTCTCAGAAAGAAGAACACATGTCACATACTTCAAATTTAGGGTCTTGCGTGTCCCATGCGAGCACCAGCCGTTCTCTGGAATTCGACTAGCAGTCGTTCGTGCCCCCAATAGACCTCAAAACAAACAGTAATCATGCACAGTCTCCATGTAAATGTCAAACCCGCTCGGGTCAACACAACTCAGCTTGTTTTCTCTCATGCCCCTCCAGCAAACCCACCGAGGCCTCAGCAGTTTCGGGACCAAACCCCAGTGAGCAAGTGATTAGGAAACTCCCTGTACCCCCGCTCTGAATCGCTCCCTCCCAACCACCAGCAACACTGCAACCAATTCAACCAGTCCCGAAAAGCAGGTTTGTAACCGAAACTCTGAGGAATCGTGATGACCACCTCTGCTGATCCGCTGCCAATCCGACGCGTTCAGCTCCGAGTTTGGACCCCAAGCGGCCTCACACCGACACTCTGACCACCGACACGCTGAGAGACAGATTTGAGGAGGGGTGAACAAAAGGTTTCCATCCAAACACAACCAATCATCTGGCAAAGGGAAGAATGTCGGGATGATGATAACATTCTCAAAGAAGAGCGTGTTTGTCTAGATGGCAATGCCACGCTCTGGGGGAAAGAATGCTACTGCCTTTGTCAGATACGTCAGGACTCTCTTGGTCGGGAATGGTTTTTCAAAATGTTCAAACCCACTCTGAAAAGGCACAGAAAAGATAACTTCAAACCGGATGTATACTGGTGAGGCTTCAACATTTTATTAATGCAAAAACAACAGGTTGAGTGGCTATGGTCCGAGGAAGGCAAACACAAGTCACATCCCATTGCATCCTGAGATTAGAAACGACCGAAAACAAAAACAAACAACGGTTCGGCGCAAATATGTTTTTCCAACCAACGTCGCTCAGTTCGGCGGCGGTACCGAGCCTCAGCTAGTCGCTAAGCTGTGGACTGAAGAACTTCATAGTGAGACTTGTCCATTTCTCTGGCTTCTCAAGCCTGGTGTCGCTCTTCAATTCTCGAAGCCGTCCATCTGAGGAGTCCGCATCGGAAGAACATCCATGCCCCAACTCTGTTAAGCCAGGAGATGAACCCTAACCAAGATACATGCGCATGTCCAGCTACAGGTGGCTCGCTTTGTTCTCGGTCCTGAATGTACATCATGGAACTCTTCTGCAGAAGGAAAAAGGGCTCCCACCAGTGAACAAAGATAATCACTTCCTGTGTGAACAGCAGCAGTTACAGATTGAACAAATACATGC